AATCCCTGTGCAGTGCAAGAAGGTATAATTTTGGCTTTATGCTCCAGAGGGGGTGCATGCCTGGGGAGCTGAGAGTTACCTTGGCTGTAGCCTTTCTACTGTTGCTTCATGCAGTGGCTGGTCAGAGAGCCTGCATGGAACTGCAGCTGGGTGTGTCCCTACCTGTGTGAATGCTGGTGGAAGTGTAGGACTGGGAGCAGGTCTGCAGCTTGTCACAGCAGCACAGTGAGAGAGGGAGCCCAGGCTGGTGGGTCAGAGGGCTCAGTGGCACCCCAGTTCCAGAAGGCACCCTGGGCAGAACCTGTCACAAATACTGTGCACATTTTACCTGCAGCCGTGAATAACTAGCAAAGCTGATTCCTCCAGACATATCAGGTCCTCAGATGGCACTGTGCATTCTGACAGATTTCTGTTAAGCTTGCCTAGCCTTATACAAAGTCGTTGCCATCTGAATGTTAATCTGTTTGCTACAACGCATTGTGCACATTTATTGCAATGGATTGTTGCTTCATTCGTGCAATTCATGAGATTGCTCTGCTCCAGAAAACAGGTGCACCTATCACTCTAGTAGCAGTGTGATGCCAGTAAGCAGTATCTCACTTAAAATTACCTACCTTACTATATACTTGAATGGCTCTGTTTGAATCAATGCTTTGCTGTTTTTAATATTTAGTGAGAGTTGCATGTTGATTATTTTTAATTGGTATGTGTACTTGTGTGGCGGGTGCAGGGGGAGAGGCATAAACTACTACAGACACAAAGAAGGGGGCATGATCAAACAAGTTTGAGAACCACTGATCTATATAGACTATACCATGCACAAGGGTTGCAGGTAGGTCTGGGATCATGGGCCACCCAGATGCCAGCTCCAATGGTACTGCAATGGCCACAGCTCACTGAGTATGTGCAGAGGTAAACAGCTGTAATTTAGTGTACATAAAAACCAATGTTAACTGAAGGGTCACATATGTATCATACTTACAAAGGGGTAAGTAGACTATAAAGGGCCAACTTCTGCCCAGTCATTGGGGTTGTACATGTTGTAAATCAGGGCAGGACTGGGGGCAATATCTTATAGGTGAGTCTGGTAGAACCAGTTACTAAGGTCGCCCAAAACTTCCCATTATAGACCCTGTTTTCATGTGCTTATCATTTTGCCTATTTTTAATTGAACTGAAGTTCTGCATGCCACATGTCTGCCTCAGCATGAATTTTTAAGGCAATGTGGTGGAGGAGACACAAATCTGAGGATGGCTGGGCAAGTGAATTGGGACTGGGATGAAGTATGAGGATTGGAGAGTGGGACTGGCTAGGTGAAGAGAATGAGACTGGGAGGAGGAGCCGGGGGTGGGGAATGGACAGGACTGGGACAGGGAGAGGTTGGAGGGGATGGGGCAGAAGAGGTCACATTTGGGGCGAATAGGCAGAAGGGTCTGTGACCCCTAGAGAACACTCCACCCCCTTCTCTCCCCCAAGTATAGAATGGAATTCAAGATTCCTGAATCGCACCATTCTTCTGCTGTCAGCAACTCTCTGTGAAACCCCTGTCTCAATGCATGTTCCGTGCTGGTCCATATAGAGGATGACAACCTACTACTACTATCAGTTACGTCATTAGCTCAAGTGGTAAAGATCTGTGAGGAGGATCTAAAATGTTCCAACCCCCTGATGAACCATTTTGTCAATATGATAACAATATGATAACAATATGATTATGAGGGCATTTCTGGTTTTTCAGTTTGCTTGTTTGAAAACCGAGGAAATTAAAAGAACACTATTAAGACTGCAAAGTCTAGCACTCAGAAATAAGGAAACTTAAGGAAGCTGCTTGTGCAATCTCACTTTGGCCCCTTTGCATTTATGCATTGTGATACAGACTTTAATTACATGTAGGGTTGGCAACAGTCTCATATTACAAGGAGACATCCCTTATTTAAATAGAAAATTGCCTGTCTTGTACTAAATCAGCACAGGACACCTTTTATCCAGTATTTCAACAGCAGGGGGCTAGTACTCATGGGTGCATCTTTGCGAGAGAGCCCTAGGGTTGCCAACAGTCCCTTATTAGAAGGGATGTCCGTTATTTCTTCATCCAGATTGTAAGTTGCTGAGTGCTGCAAAAAGCAGAAAGAAATACCCCTGGTGAATACATGAGTACTGCTTATTATTATTATTTATTATTTATTATTCATTCATTCATTTATTATCATCATCCTATCGGGAGGAGGGTTGAGGCGGAGGTTTATGAAAACAGCCCTTGTTTTTGACATACAATGTTGGTAACCATAATTACATGCTCCCATACCATACTTTCGACAGGACCCTGCCTCATTCAGTACAGGATACCTGCTCTACGTATGACTCAGGGTTGTGCAGTGAAGGATACTGTTGTCTGTAGGACTCATGTTTAATTTGTTGCAGAAGCTGGAAGGTGTGTCGTGACTGAGGAAGGTGATTGCTAGGAGAAAAAGGATGATTTCATGAATAGGCTGCTCTGTGGGTGCTCAGGGGCTGGAGCACCCACGGGGGAAAAAATGCACTGGCAGCCCCCCATCAACACCTCTCCCTCCCCGCAGTGCCTCCCGCCTGCTGGCGGGTCCCACCAATCAGTGCATCCCTTTCCCTCCCAGTGCCTACCTCCTGCTGTGGATCAGAGTTTTCGTGGCATCTGGAGGCACTGCAGGGGAAGGGAGAGAAGTGAGGGCGCAGTGCACTTGGGGGAGGGAGCAGAACGGGGCAGGAAAGAGGTTGGGTGAGGCATTGGGGGGGAATGGGTAGAGTGGGGGCAGGGCCTCAGCAGAGCCAGGGGAGCACCCCCCGACAGATTAGAAACACGGCACCTATGATTTCATGATTAAGGCAGTTGAATGCTGACCTGGAGAATTGGATTCTGTCCCTGTCTTTGCCCCAGAGTCCTAGATGTGATGCTGGGCAAAACAAACTGTTACCAGGTGGTCACTCATTGTATGCTCCTTATTTTCTGGTTGCCCAACTTGAGACCCTGAGGACTGATTTGTAGAAGTGCTGAGTACTCATGTCTGCAATGAAAGTTGCACTTTGAACATATGAAATACTATTTAATGTTAACTCCTTTGAAAAATCAGGTCCTGGGAATCTCAGGTGCGGCACCCAAAATCACTTTCTGTGCTTCAGTTCCCCATCTGTCTAATGAGGACAATAAGACCACCCTCATCTCACAGGTGTGTTGTAAATATAAATTCATTAATGTTAGTAAACCATTCCGGTACCATGGTGTTGAGCACTACAGAAAATCCCAGGAGGAAATTAATAATTCTGTTTTCAGGGAGTAATTCTGTTTTCAGGGAGGAGTTTGAATAGTGTGCAGTAAATAAGGCATAGGACCAAACACTGAATAATGGGGGGAAAAACAAAATATTCAACAGCTGTGCATTAAGTGAGCATCATCCATCCTGCACACAGAATAAGCCATCAATGGAAAATAGGTGATCATGTAATTAAAGATTGTATCAAAATGAATATGCAAAAGGGGCTAAATTAAAGGAGAACAACCAATCTTAATTCTGACATTTCCTAATTTGAGTGCTTGTCATTGCAATCTTAATAATGTCCTTTTAACATTGTTTGTATTTGTATTCCAAATATACTTTGCATATATAATTGTGTGTAGTCTTCTTTTCTAGACAATTAGGCCTGGATGTTCAAAAGTGACTAATGATATTAGATTAGGGTTGCCAGGTGTCTGGTTTTCTATCAGAGCATCTGGTTGAAAAGGGACCCTGGCGCTTCCGCTCAGCACTGCTGACTGGGCCGTTAAAAGTCCGGTTGGTGGCACTGCTGGCGCAGTGGGACTGGCAGGCTCCCAGCACAGCTCCTGGAAGCATCCCTCCAGCTCCTAGGCAGAGGGAGGGCCACAGGGGCTCTGCGTGCTGCCCCCATCCCGAGCGCTGGCTCCATTGGCCAATGGGAGCTGTGGAGCTGGAGCTCAGGGTGGAGGCAGCGTGTGGAGTCCCTGTGGCCGTCCCTCCCCCGAGGAGCTGGAGGCACCTGCCAGCTGCTTCCGGGAGCTGCCTGAGGTAAGCACTGCCCAGCACCTGCGCTCCAACTTCCAGCACCATGCCCCAGCCCTGAGCCCCTTCCTGCACCCAAACTCCCTCCCGGAGCCCGCACCCCCTCCTACACCCCAACTCTGTGCCAGAGTTCTGAGCCCCTCATTTCTGGCCTCAACCCAGAGCCTGTACCCCCTCCTACACCCCAACCCCCTACCCCAGCCCGGTGAAAGTGAGCGAGGGTGGGGGAGAGTGAGGGATGGAATGAGTGGGGGTGGGATCTCGGGGAAGGGGCGGGGCAGGGGAAGGGCGTTTGGTTTTCCATGATTAGAACATTGGCAACCCTATGCCGGATGCCTCCATTTTTTAGGTGTCCAAATTGAAAGAATTTTAAGGGGCCTGATTTTTAGAAAGTGCTGATTGTTCTCAACTGTGCAGTGGCTAGTAGGGTGACCAGATGTCCTGATTTTACAGGGACAGTCCTGATATTCGGGGCTTTGTCTTTTATATAGGCACCTATTACCCCCTCAGCCTCTGTCCTAATTTTTCACACTTGCTACCTGGTCACCCTAGTTTCCAGTGACTTAAAGTTACTAAGCAAAGTCTAAGTCTAGCTTTTAAGGTATAAAGAAATGATGAAAAGCAAATATTAAAAAAATATGTGGATGTGATGAGGACCAAAAAATCCTGGCCTAACATTACAAACCACACTTTCTGGTAAAAGAGGAGGAAGGACTTACAAGCATCCAAACTTCCCAAAACACTGATTTGTTGTAGCCTGAAAGGCAAACAAAAATAAGCCAGTTACACATTCATTGAAGGGCTGGCAAAAGTCCTGTCACCATAGCAACCCCTCAATAGGCCTGTTTTGCTTGCACAAGCTTTCTTGCCTATCCCAGCCCCAAATTGCTGAATAGGAGGAGCTTTGCTTTGTCCATTCCTTATTTGTAACTTGTTGAGAGCTAAAGGGAGGGAGGGGTGAGCCATCTCTGCTGCCTGAGTTGCAATTACACCTACAAATGCCTTCTGTGTTGTATGGTGCCTGCATTCTGGCTCTTAAATTCCTTTGGCTGTTTGTGGTGTTAGAAGCAACTACCAGAACCTATTATGTTGGGATTGTGGAGGAGAACTGGGACTATGCACCAACTGGGAAGAATCTGATTACAGGACAAAGCCTCACAGAAGATGAGTAAGTCCCTCAGGTTTCTGGTAAATCAGATCTCATGATGTCTCGAGAGAAAAATCCTTAGGTCACCCATATTGTCTTAATGTCTTAAGTTTGTGCCGTCACTGGACTTTAGTTTAAAAAAAAGTTTTGCTAGTATGGCTGCAATATACATTTAAGGCTGGATATGACTTCTATTCAAGTCAGTAGAGGGACTCCCACTGAATTGAATGGGAGTTGGATCAGGCCTCTGCTGTTTAAAATGGCTTCTCTTCCTTAGTACTGATAAAATAGGGGTGGGGTGCAAGGACTGGATACTTGCTGTGACACTTATTGAAGGGTGAATTTCAGGTGTTAGTTCTCAAAGGATTAAGTTTTTGTTTTGTTTTTTTAATTGCAGCTTTGCTTTACCAGGATTCATGTGGGAAATCGGGTATTTCTGTGAGTGCTGGCCCAAGGTGACATCACAGTTCTGTCACCACTAAGCACAGCTTTTCCACAATGAAAACTGAAGAGAATCTCTTGTAAACTGGTGAAATTTGACAAATTGGAAAAACTGGTTTGAAATCAATAAGAACAAGTGCAAAGCACTTCACTTAGGAAGGAAAAAGCAGATGCACAACCACAAAATGAGAAATAACTGGCTAGGTGGTAATACTGCTGCTGAAAAGGATCTGGGGGTTATCGTGGATCACTAACTGAATACGAGTCTAGAATGTGATGCGGTTGCCCAGAAGGCTAATATTCTGGAGTGTATTAACAGGGATATGATAAGAAAGACACAGAAGGTATTTGTCTTGCTCTGCTTGGTACTGGTGAGGGCTGATCTGGACTACTGTGTCCAGTTCTGGGCGTCACACTTTAGGAAAGATGTGGACAAATTGGAGAGATTCCAAAGGAGAGGAATAAAAAGTTTAGGAAACCTGACCTATGAGGAAAGGTTAACAAACTGGGCATGTTTACTCTTGAGAAAAGAAAATTGAGGAGAGACCTGATAAGAGTGTTCAGATATTTTATGGGCTGTTATAAAGGGGACTGTGAATTCTCCATGTCCACTAAAAGTAGGACAAGAAGTAATAGGCATAATCTGCAGCAAGGGAGATTTAGGTTAGATTTTATGAAAATCTTTCTAACTATATGGGTAGATAAATTCTGGAATAGGCTTCCAAAGGAGGTTGTGAAATCCCCATTATTGGAGGTTTTTAAGAAAAGACTGGACAAACACCTGTCAGGGGTGGTCTAGGTTTATTTGGTGCTGGCTGAGTGCAGGAGGCTGGACTTGATGACTTCTCAAGGTCCCTTCCAAACCTACATTTTTATGATTCTATGTGGAACCACAGAAGTTAGAGATGGGAAAGACTTATTCAAGATTCAAATACACATGTACGAGTGGGATGAGAAGAAGATGGTCCATACAAACATACTGTATACTGCACATATAGGCCTCGGTTCAGGGAGCCACAGAAGTCAGTGCTTAAATTTAAGCACGTGAGTATTTCCACTGACATGCATGTACTTAAATTTAGACATGTGCCTAAGTACCTTTCCGAGCTGTGACCACAGTATTGTGATGTGTATGTTCTTCTTACACACACAGCTAAGCTTGATTCTCCATCCGTTACACTCCATGGAAGACCTCTAGAGGAGCAGGTAGCCCTGTAGCCCTGGGAACTGGCATAACGGCTATACTTCTGAACATTGTGTGTTCATTGAGGCCCACATGGGGATGTTTTAAAGTTTCAGTTTTATTAAGAAAATTAAGGGACCTTCCACCTACTGTAGAGAGCAGGTATGGGACTATGCACAGGGATGGGGGTAGGGTTTGGGAGAAAATAGGATCCTGCCCAGATGTAGGAGTCCTCACTAGCAGATCGTGATAAAGTTCAGAACTTTGTATTGTCCTAGAAGTTAGAAATGGGAAAGACCTATATGGCTATCTAGGCAACACCAAGCCAATGCGGGATTGTTCCATACATCCCTAGTGATATGTTCATGATAGTTTGAAAAGTCTCAAGCAATACAAGAGAAGTATTTTTTTTAAATAACTTCAGGTGAAAACCATACACTGCTTTGCAGATAATTACGATAAAAGTACCAAAAATGCAGTATTAGCAAGTGAAATGAATGGACTTCTCACTTTTTGTTTTAGCGTGGATATGATGGTTACGGAGAAGGAGTGAAGAAATGGCATAACATTCTATAACCACTGTTTCTGCTTTAAAAAAAAAAAGGAATGACTAACAAATGGAGCTGTGCAAACTTGTGAAGAAAATGTGCAAATTCATTCACACTCCCAGAAATCTCTCCATTTTGCAGAATTGTGTAAAACAGTAGTTTGACAGCAAAACTATAAAACTACACGTTTTCAAACAGCAACTTCACTGAAAAGTGGACTTTTTCACTCAGAAAATTACTGACATTTTAGTGAGGAAAAAATAATAATGCTAGGCTCATAGAACTGAAAATGGTCCCATGTTCCTGTGAGCATTTTGGGAAAACAGGACAAGTTTTGATTTAGCACCAAAATGTTCAGATCTTGAGTGCTTAGAACTGTACTGCAGCCATTTCACCCCACTCTGCTTATGGGTATCCAAACTTTGAGTTTGTATCTGTCCTACAGAATGTGATGGTAATGGTATTTTTCTGGGCTGCCCTTTGGACTATTTGAATACTAAGCTGAACAGTTTGCTGTTTGGACCAGCATGCGCATTCACACACAGCACTCTCTGAATTTGGTTGCATGTACTTTAAAGTCAGTGACATTAATTCACATGCCTATTTCATAGACAGAGAAAATTTTCATTAATGATTTTAAATTAACTCTTTGCTTATTTTTATAGTCTTAATTTTTACAGGACATTACTTCCTACAAGTAATTGTTAAATCTTTTAAATAAGAAATTGATTGCTAAAGGCATTAAGCCATGCAGGATAATCTAGTTCCATAAAACCTTTGGATTCATGCCATTCCAGATGACCGGGACAACAGGGCAATACTCTTTGAAAAGGCAGCATTCTGCAAATAATAATGCTTAGTATTACAATACACAGTAATTTTCATTTTCAAACCATGACTGATTAATCCTAGAATATCAGGGTTGGAAGGGACCTCAGGAGGTCATCTAGTCCAACCCCATGCTCAAAGCAGGACCAATCCCCACCTAAATCATCCCAGACAGGGCTTTGTCAAGCCTGACCTTAAAAATATCTAAGGAAGGAGATTCCACCATCTCCCTAGGTAACGCATTCCAGTGTTTCACCACCCTCCTAGTGAAAAAGTTTTTCCTAATATCCAACCTAAACCTCCCCCACTGGAACTTGAGACCATTACTCCTTGTTCTGTCATCAGCTACCACTGAGAACAGTCTAGATCCATCCTCTTTGGAACCCTCTTTCAGGTAGTTGAAAGCAGCTATCAAATCCCCCTTCATTCTTCTCTTCCGCAGACTAAACAATCCCGGTTCCCTCAGCTTCTCCTCATAAGTCATGTGTTCCAGTCCCCTAATCATTTTTGTTGCCCTCCGCTGGACTCTTTCCAATTTTTCCACATCCTTCTTGTAGTGTGGGGCTCAAAACTGGACACAGTACTCCAGATGAGGCCTCACCAATGTCGAATAGAGGGGAACGATCACATCCCTCGATCTGCTGGCAATGCCCCTAAATATACATCCCAAAATGCCATTGGCCTTCTTGGCAACAAGGGCACACTGTGGCAATCCTCACAAAATCCCTCTGATGTAGGTAGGTAAGTATTATTACCCCAATTTTATTGATGGGGAATCTAAGACTTAGAGGAGGCAACCTAAGATGGTTCTCTTTAAAGGAGCTAGTGCACAGAAATTAAGGAATGTTCCTTTTGAAGCTAGCTGGTCTTCAAAGCTGGCCTGAATTCTCATCCAGCACAGCTCTGAGAACATAAGAACTGCCATACTGGACCAGACCAAAGGTCAGTCTAGCCCAGTATCCTGCCTTCCGACACTGGCCAATGTCAGTTGCTTCAAAGAACAGGACAATTATCAAGTGATCCATCCCCCATGATCCAGTCCCAGCATCTGGCAGTCAGAGGCTTAGGGCAGAGCATGGGGTTCCATCCCTGTCCATCTTGGCTAATAGCCATTGATGGACCTGTCCTCCATGAACTTAACTAAATATTTTTTTAACACGGTTATAGTTTTGGCTTTCGCAACACCCCTAGCAGCAAGTTCCACAGGTTGACTGTACGTTGTGTGAAGAAGTACTTCCTTTTGTTTTTTAAACCTGCTGCCTATTAATTTCATTGGTGACCCCTGGTTCTTATGTTATGTGAAGGGGTAAATAAAACTTCCTTACTCACTTTCTCTGTGCCATTTCTGAATTTGTAGACTTCTATCCTATCCCCTCTTAGTCATCCCTTTCCCCAGTTGAACAGTCCCAGTCTTTTTAATCTCTCCTGATATGGAAGCTGTTCCATACCTTTGATAATTTTTGTTGTCCTTTTCTGTACCTTTTCCATTTCTAATGTATCTTTTTTGAGATGGGGCAATCAGAACTACATGCAGTATTGAGTGTGCTATGGATTTATATAGTTACATTATGATATTTACTGTTTTATTATCTATACCTTTCCAAATGGTTCCTAACATTTTGTTCATTTTTTGGCTGCTGCTGCACATTGAGTGGATGTTTTCAGAGAACTATCCACAATGACTCCAACATCTCCTTTGAGTGGTAGCAACTAATTTAGACCCCATCGTTTTGTATGTATAATTGAGATGATATTTTGCCATGTGCATTACTTTGCATTTATCAATAGGGAATTTCATCTGCCATTTTGTTGCCCAGTCACCCAGTTTTGTGAGATCCCTTTGTAGCTCTTTGGACGTAACTATCTTGAGTAATTTTGTATCATCTGCAAACTATGCCCTCACTGTTTACCCCTTTTTCCAGACCATTTATGAATATGCTGAACAGCAGTGGTCCCAGTACAGATCCCTTGTGGACATCATTTACCCCTCTCCATGCTAAAATTGACTGTTTACACCTACC